GATTCTTATGGGGTATGAGGCTTTTCTGCCTCCCTAGCATTAAGGCACACATACAGCTATAAAAGTGATTAGCAGCATGGAATGGAATCCTCAGCAACAGAGTGTCCCATCAGCCCTGCTACCGTCATCTGGCCTCTTACATTTCAGTGTCATCCCATACAAAGGCCACAGAGAGCTGGTACCTTTTCATGCTATGTAAGCAGCAAACTGAGTCAAAAAAGGGCTCATTGCTTCTTTACAGCCTGGCTTTGCCTTGTGCTTGACAGTATCAGAATATATAAAGAACTCTTAAAGCTTGAGAAGAACAAGCAATGCAACTAAAAAATGGGCAAAAGATCTGGGTAGAAACTTCACCAAAGAAGATATGTGGAAGGAAATTAAGCACTTGAAAAGCTGTTCAATATCATGAGGCATTAGGGAAATGCAAATTAAAACCAGAAGGCCATACCACTATATGCACATTAGAATGACTAAAATAAAAAATACAGTGCTAGACAAGATGCAGAGCAATTGGAACTCTTGCACTGCTGGTGGAAAACTAAATGGTTCAGGTATTCTGGAAAAACAGCTCAGCATTTCCTAGAAAGTTCAACATACATTTACCTTCATGACCTTACAATTCATTTCCTGGGTATTTAATCTCAGCAACCAAAATGTCCTTAAGCAAGTGAATGAATGAACAAACTGCAGTATATTTATACAGTGACCTAGCATTTAGCACTAAAACAAGGAACACCCTATTCACACAACATGAATAAATCTTAAATTCATCTTGCTAAGAGAATGAAGCCATTCTCAAGGAGTTACATACTGTACGATTCCATTTATATGACAGTCTTGAAACAACAAAACTGGAATAACAGAACAGATTGGGGGTAGAGGTACAGAGAGGGTGTGACTATGAAGGGCACAAGGTATTTCTGGGAGGCAGGTAATGGAATGGTTTTGTATCCTGATTGCGGGGGGGGGGGGGGGTTGCATGAATCTATTCACATGCTAAATTCAGAGAACCAAAAAAGGCAATTTTACTCTATGTATGTATATCAAAAACGGGCATGTTTTCTGTATGTTAATTTAAAAATAAAATTTATAAAGGAAGAAAAAAGAAAGAAGGGAGAACAGTTACAAAATAAGAGATTTAAGAGACCAAAAAAAAAAAAAATGCAATTTGTGGACCTTGTTTGGATCCTGATTTGAACAAACCAACTAGAAGAGGCATTCTTGATACAACCAAGAAAACTTTAATGTCGATTTGGAAGTATAAGTTAAATTTGTTTTTAAATTATGATGATGGACTTGTGGTTATTTAGAAAAATCTTCATCAGTTAGATATGTATTCTGAGATATACACATATGGTGAAATAGGATTAAGCTGGGATTTGCTTTAAAATAATTGAGAAAAACAAGTGGGAGAGATACACTGGCAAATGTTGAAGCTAGTGGTTCATGTTATGATCTTTACTATTTTTGAATACGTTTGAAGTTATCTGCAATTTTTCTTAAATATGGGAAATGAGATTTCAAAAACAGAGTAGAACTTCCTTTCCACATTTATTATAAAGCAGTAGATATGATTGGTTTCCATCTCAATGTCAAATCTTTCCAGTGACTGTAAATAAATAAATGCTGTGTGTGCCAAAAATAATACTGACCCAAGGAAAAAAAAAAGCCTCCTAGAAATCTTACACCTTGAGCAATAAACTCCTAAAATTACTAGATTAGTAAAGATTTGCAGCTAGATTTTAAAATAGCATATCAAGACAGTCTCCTTTAAATATTACCATTTTCAATGACTCCATCAAAGAAATACAGAGTGAAATTTTTAGAGCAATAATTATGATTCTAAAAACCTCAGCTAAAAAACAAAATTACTCAGGCTTTTTGATTCTCATTAATTATTTACACAGTGTAGGTCTCTTGCTGTGTTGGGCCAGTCTGTTCTTTTGCACATTATTATTATTTATCATTTCTTGAGCACTTAGCACAGCTTGATATATATGATGACAAATTCCCTCCCTAGGGGACAACAATCAAAGTCACACAAGCAAAACACAAAGATTAGCTACTTAAGAAATGAAAACTAAATCAAAGGTTAAGAAACACATTCTGAATCCCCCCCTCCACTTTATTATTATTTTTTTTTCTTTCAGCTTTAAGCCCATGATACAACACATACCTCTTTAGGGTCCCAAAAGAAGAGAGAAGTGGGCAAGACAAAATAAATAAATCTAGGAGATAGAAAACATCCTAGACACTATTCCAAGAAAATATCCTATCTTAGAAATCCTTTCACTCTCTGAGATCTATAAATTACCGAAGCCTATTCCTAGCTCTAGTGGACTGTAATAGCTTTGTGTGTGTATGATTTAGGTCTTCCCAGCAGACTTTTCTGTTCCTTTGCTTTTGATAAAACCACTCTCGCTTCAGGAACTGCCTCCCGCTGTCTGTGTATTCCTGATGAGACTGTCAATCATAATGCAACTTTCCTCTACCTTATAATGACATTGTGCTGAAGGCTGTAGGCCCAGAGAAGCCCAAGGTCATTTTAACAGACTGTGCAATGAAATTTCTCTACAGGGTCCATTAAACCTATTTGCAAAAAATAATAATAGAAATAAAAACAAAATACATGGTTACAGTTTAAGTGCTGGCTAAGCCCCAAATCAAGGCTCTGGGACCCTCTTTCCTATAGTTCTTTAGACTGTTGAACTACTCCACAATCCTTTTATCTTTATTTTTGGCCAGTGGGGAGGAGGAGGTAGAGAATCTTCAGCAGGCTCCATGCCCAGCGTGGATGAGGGACTCAATCTCATGACCCTGACAGAGATCATGACCTGAGCCAAAATTGAGAGTTGGGCACTTAACTGATTGAGCCACCCTACTGCCCCTCCACAATCCTTTTAAGCTGGCACACTATTATTCACAATAGTATGAATAAAGTTTTCTTTTGTCATTTGCACCTGAAAGAATCCTGAGACATTAAAAGAACTTGCCCAAGATCCAAGGGCTCCTGTAAAGTAGAGTCATTATTCAAATCCAGGACTGTCCCTATCCATCCACATAGTAGGCTTTTCTTACTATGCCAATGTACTTTTTATGTGTATGCTCCCAAAATAAAGTTTCTGTATGACTGAGAAAGGAAGGAAAAGGGGCTGAGAGGCCCCGGGTCAGTCAGTTTAATCCTATATAGGTTTCCTGGTAATGGGGGGAGATGAAAACCACGAATACTGTAATCTAATAGAAATTTATTTTAAACCCATTTTGCACGGTATTTAATGCATATGAACAAGAACTCCAGGTGGCAATCATACAAACTTCTACCCAAGAGCAAATCAAAGGTGCAGAATTCTAGGAAAGAACGACATCAAGGTATTTTCTTTTCCCTCTGCTCTACCCAGTTGTAATGGTTGCATTAAAAAAATAGTGTTTAATACCGGGGTGCCTGGGTGGCTCCGTGGGTTAAAGCCTCTGCCTTCAGCTCAGGTCATGATCTCAGGGTCCTGGGATCGAGCCCCGCGTCGGGCTCTCTGCTCGGCGGGGAGCCTGCTTCCCTCTCTCTCTTCCCTCTGCCTGCCTCTCTGCCTACTTGTGATCTCTCTCTCTCTGTCAAATAAATGAAATCTTTGAAAAAAAAATAGTGTTTAATACCAACAGCACCAAATAAAATGTTTACGTTTTCAAAGTTTATACCTTTATTTGTTTCCTTTAAAAGTATCTTTATTCATTGTTTCATAGATAACATGGCTTGTTTTGGGATAGTAATTCCTTTTAAATGTTTCCTCACTTTCCCATCTTATTCACCTTTTAAAATTTTATTTTTTTTAAGATTTATTTATTTATTTGACAGAGAGAGATCACAAGTAGGCAGAGAAGCAGGCAGAGAGGGGAAAAGCAGGCTTGCCACTGAGCAGAGAGCCTGATGTGGGGCTTGATCCCAGGACCCTGAGACCAGGGCTGGAGCCGAAGGCAGAGGCTTAACCCACTAAGCCACCCAGGTGCCCCTAAAGATCATATTTTTAAGTAATCTCCATACCCAACATGGGGCTTAAACTCACAGCCCCAAAAGCAAGGGTTGTATGCTCTGTGGAGTGCACCAGCCAGCCAAGTGCTCCCTCATTTTCCATTTTAAATGATTACTTTGTTATTATTGTACTTATCATGACTTGAAATTTTCTTGTTTATTAATGTACTTCCTCCTTTATTTTTGCAACTTACTTGTTTATTCACGTATTAGCAGGGATCTTGCCAGTTTCCTTTGCCACCATATTTTTGTTTGGCTTACAGAAGACACAAAGTATTTGCTAGCTTTTTAATGTACACTGTTCCAAAATAAAAGTCACTGTTTTGATACCTATAAAGTATACCAATATATTGAAACTAAAGGATGATGAGTTAGTCTGTGTTTGCCTATAAATGAAACTGGGATGAAATCCCAGGTGTTAAATGGGAGAAGTGACCACATTCTCTAGTTGGGTGGGGCTGGGCAAATGCTCAGCTTGAGTCTTAGCTGTTCCAAGGCAGCAAGGCAGAAAGATCCTGCTTCCAAAAACGCAACTCTTCATTCATCAGGGACCCTGCAGAAGCTTTTGTTTGAAGAAATGATGCCACTGCTTAAAAACAGGGTTAGTTAGGATAGGGTGGTAGAAAGCATTTACATTGTATATTTATCCTTCTCTTTCAAAGTCAATGTGCTGTAACTATTATTAATGTTACTATAAACAGTAATAGTAACATAACTGCTGCTGCCCCAATTCGAAAGCAATTACGCTTTTTTAGAATTTTAGGGAGAACCAAAAACCAAGATTTCTAGAGTCAGAAAATGTTTGCCTTTTAGCTATGTAAAAAATGAAAAGTTAAACCTTATGCTGGAGAATTTCAGAATCTTCGAATTCAAAGTTTTTCCTACTAGTGTATTAATTTCATATTTGATTTCTCTTCCTATAGAGAGAGCATATAAAAACATGTTTAGCATTTCCTCCCTTGCCAGGTTGCATTTCATCTTGAGTAGATTTAAAACCAGATTAGTTGTAATAGGATTCCAGGATGTGGGCAGACATCTACTTGTCTTGGATGATTTCTCTTGCAATCAGCTCCTTCATTATTTCGTTGGTACCACCATAGATTGTCTGAACTCGGGCATCCACATAAGCTCTAAATAAATCAGAAGATGACTGAATGAGTAAAGAAAAGACATTGGAAATTACAAGTTTTGTCTTATCATGTAACTATTAGTTACTTTAAAGTATTTATTTAATGAAATCCAAATAATAAAGTTCTTTATAAATTCCTTTTTTTGTTCACTACGGCATTCAACCTAGGTTTGTATAATTATAAAATTCTATTAAGATACTGATCATCTGTATAGCTTTGTTTTAGTTTGCTTGATGAGATTATAATTTCAAAATAACATTTATTCGTATGCTTCATTTGATTTAATTTTGGAAAACTTAGCGCATATAATAGCATTCTAAAAAAGGCTATTTCGGATTTAGAATGGACAGAATGTCTTAATTTCTTGTTATCTTTAATGTTCCCTTAAAAAATTTGAAATCTACTGGTTTTATGGGAAACAAAAGAGAAAAGAATGTACCTATTTCCCAATATCTCTTTAGATTCCCACCACCAAGGCTACATCAGGAGTATAAATTGATGCTTTAGAAAAGATTACTTCCCACAAAGTTAACAAGTAACTTATTTTCTGGAAATGGTTAATAGTCACTCACTCCAGTAATGTATGACATTAAAATACTGAGTGCCTAAGTCTACTGCCACAAAAAAAAAAAAAGGAAAAAGGAAAAAATGTTATGAGGAATTCACTTTTAATAGGAATGATAGCAACCATGATACTGTATACTTGTTTTTACCTATTCTCATATCATTTTATCCTCCCACTTTATCCTCTCATTTTATCCTCTCATATCCTTTAACCTTAATACTGGCATCAGGGAGGATAAATATTACTATAGTTTTGCATGTAAAAGAACTGAGATACAGAGCAGCAGTTATACATGTACTAATTAATGGCTGCTATTTATTGGTCACATATCAGATAATTGGCAGGCTGGAATGAGAATGTAGGTATCTTGCCACTTTGGCAAGTATCTTTTTCATTATTTCACAATATTTTCATTGGTCTGGGCATGCAGGACTAGTTATAAGCTTTGGACTTTCCTAGTAGACAAATTCAATGGCATTTTTTTTTTTCAAGTGTAGAATTCTTTTGTTCTTATTTATTTTAAAAATTTTATTTATTTGAGAGAGAGAGCAAGCAAGAGCATGGTGGGGTGCAGAAAGAGTGTGAGAAGCAGGCTCTCCCCTCAGCAGGAAGCCTGAGGCAGGGCTCCATCCTACGACCCCCGGATCATGACCTAAGTCCAAGGCAGCCGCTTAACCGATGAAGTCACCCAGGCATCGCTGTTTTTTGTTTCTAATTTAACACCTGAAACAAACTAAATGTGTCAGTTCTCTAGGAACATGACCAATTCTGGACTCTCCATATTTATCATGGTACCTTGCAAACAGTGAGCACTCTGTAAATATTTACTGATTTAGTATATTAGAAAGGAATTTTAGAGTCTCAATACCTACTTTTTGATGAAACTTGAAATATGAAGACATTTGCATTTTCAAATATACTTTTTCTTTTGAACAGCTTCCATGGTTGCCCACAAAACCCAGCACTTGCATGTAGAGAGCCTACGTAGCATTTCAGCCTACTTCGGCAATGCTTTTAGAAATTTTCGGACTGGGCTTTTTTTTTTCCACATTAAGGAAGTTCCAATGGAGCAGGTAAAGACAGAGATCAGTAGACCTTTTATAGGTTACTAATTAAATTAAGTCATCAACTAAAATTAACAGAGAAGGGCAGCAGAAGGAATGTTTAACCACACAGTGATGAAGCTCTGTATCTCAGGCTATTTTTCCCAGCAGTGCAGAGGAGTCTTGAAATGGCATAGCTCAACATGCCTCACTTCTCACAGACCCCAAGCCCAACTAGTAAGACTGAAACAAGTTCACATGCTTACGACCAGTTATTTAAAAATAAACAAATAAAAAAAAGTGACAAAACAAAAAAGCAAAACAAACAACCCCAAACAAAACTCAAAACACATACACATACACACACGAGTAAAACAGCTTAATCCAAGGATATAAGAAACACAATTAGAATGATTTTTTTCCCTCAAATCAAAGTCTGTGCCCTGCAACCACATACTGCCTAATGTGGCTAATCAGCTGCTCGATATTATCTACTGTTCTCTCTTCCTAACTTATGAAAAGTTCTTTCCTCGTATCTTTGGGGAAGAGAAGTAGCAGTCTAGTTTAAAAGTTCATACTATCTTTGAACTAACAAACCAGCCAAGAAGGGGATTAGTATTCCTAAAAGGAAATATAAGTCTCTCAAATTGAAACCAGGCATTTCAAGTAAGCCATCAAGCTACGGTATTTGCTTGCTACTGACCTGAAGGAACGGCCTCTGAAAAAACAGAGAGCAAGACTTACTCTGCACTCTGATCTTGGGCCATGTGGGCGGGGGACTCGTCTTCACCTCATATGCCCTCTTTGGAACCTGAACTAGACTAGACAAACACTAAGTGAATACATGTCTATGTTTCCAGCAGAAGTTGTAATGGCACAGTCAAGTAGAAGAATATAGATATGCATTATGGTCTTACTTTCTTACCATTGTAAATATTATGAATAAGATGCATTAATAGTGTGAGTAAAACATGAAAATGCACACAAAAAAACCTCCAGTGATGATTTAATTTGTGCTAACATAACAGTGTTTATTTCTGATTTCACGACTATACAAAGATAAAAAAATAAATCTGCTTTTGATTAAGGCTCATTTGAAGTAGTTCTGAAAGGATATACCAAAATCCAAGCCCAGGGATTAACAAAAAAAAAAAAAATCTGTATCTATATCTAGATCAAGAAATAGACATACATATACATATATATATATATATAACAGTATATATATGAGTGTATGTGTATATGTATATCTATGATTTAGCTACTTCATATCTACATTCCCAAAGAAAGGAAAAGCCTTAGCTGTTGCTGAGTTTTTATAAAAGGTCATAAATTATACATACCCTGTGATTAAAGCTTTCTGAACTGCCCCAATGGCTACAGAAAATTAGTAGATTATATCTATACTGGAGCTTCTGTTCTTAATGTAACTTAACTAAAATGTTTAATTTTCCTCATTAAAGACCATAAGTACATCAAATGTTTTCAATTATGTTTGCCAAAACAATAAATTTGAAAGTCAGTCTGAATACTAGTTTGATAATTTTCCCCTTCAGATAGTCTGTATTTAGATTAAAATTAGAAGAGAAAAAGTTTTTAGAAGCCCATAGCATTCACATTCTCAGATCCAGAACTCAACTGGACTTCCTTCCTGTTTAAGTTATAAAACGTCCTTAAGAAAGTTTTATAAACTGAGAATATTGCTAAGTAAGAGGAAAATTTTCTAGAGCAAAATGAATAATCAAAATTTAAGATATGAAAACTTAAGCCTTTTCATATTTGTTTTTTTCTGAAGTGCCAATTATTTTTTAGTTCTAAAAAGTTATATTTTAGGGGTGCCTGGATGGTTCAACTGTTGAATATCTCACTCTTGGTTTCAGCTCAGGTCATGATCTCAGGGTCATGAGATCAAGCCCAGTATCTGGCTCATGCTGACTTGAGATTCTCTCTTTCTTTCTCTGTCCCTCCCCTGCTGTGTGTGTGTGTGTGTGTGTGTGTGTGTGTGCGTGTGAGTGTGTGTGAGAGAGAGAGAATGAGAGCAGTGAGCACTCTAAAATAAATAAGTAAAATCTTTAAAAAATAAAATGAAAATAAAAAGTGATATTTTAAAAGAAGACATATAAATAACCAACAGGTATATGAAAAAATGCTCATTGTCACCAATCATCAGGCAAATGCAAATCAAAACCACAATGAGATATCACCTCACACCTGTGAGGATGGCTATTAACAAAAAAACAAAGGAAAACAGGTGCTGAAAAGAATGTGGAGAAATTGGAACCCTGCACACTGTTGGAGGTAATACAAAATGGGGCAGCTGCTGTGGAAAACAGTATGGAGGCTCCTCAAAGAATTAAATAGAACTACTGGGACACCTGGGTGGCTCAGTTTGCTAAGCGGCTGCCTTCGGCTGAGGTTGTGATCCCAAGACCCTAGGATCAAGTCCCACATCCGGCTCCTGGCTCAGCAGAGAGCTTGCTTCTCCCTCCCACTCTGCCTGTAGCTCTTCCTGCTTGTACTCTCCCTCTCTGTTAAATGAATAAATAAAAACCTTAAAAAAATTCTTAAAAAAAAAGAACTACCATATGATTTTTAAAATCCCACTTCTAGGTATTTATTGCAAAGAATTGAAATCAGGACCTCCAAGCAATATTAGCATTCACATGTTCATCGCAGTATTATTCACAATAGCCAAGATGTGGAAACAACCTAATGTTTATGCACAGATGAATGGATAAAGAAAATGGAATGGAATAGTATTTAACCTTAAACCAGAAGGAAATTCTACAGTAGGCGACAACTTGGATAGACTTGAACATTTTGTTAGGGGAAATAAGCCAGTCACAGAAAGACAGATACTATGTGATTCCACCTCTATGAGGTATCTAAAATAGCCAAATTCATAGAATCACAGAAGAATGATGGTTACCAGGAACAAAGGAAGGGGATAATGGGGAGTTATTAATCAATGGGCTTAAAGTTTCAGCTGAGCAAGATGAGTAGGCTTCAGAGGTCTGCAGTACAATGTTGTACTATAGTTAACTGTTCAGTATGGAGCACTTAAAAATTTGTGAAGAGGGTAGATCAGATGTTAAATATTCTTACCACAGGAAACTAAAATAATTAATAGTCAATGCAAATTAAAGGAAGAATAATAATCTATTTTCTACCTGTTACATTAGCATAAGGTTTAAAAAACAATAACATTCACAGTTTAGGAAGATAAGCTATCCTCAAACTTTTTTCATTTGGGTATGAGTTGCTACTAACTAAAGAAAATAATCTGGCAATATATTAAAATTTAAAATATGTATACTTTTGAACTAGCAATACTACTCTTGGAACTCTGCCCTGTTGTAATTAAAAACACATGTATCTAAGACAAATGTTTAAAGGTGTTCTATTGCAGCATTTATTATCATAGTAAAAGAGTCAAAATAACCTGTATAATTATGGTTAACCAATAAAATACAGTATCATTCAATCATAAAGAAAGTGATATTAATCCTTCTGTATAATGATTCAAATAAAGCCATACTTTACTATTCTGTGTGCTTTCTTTAAAAATGATAAAATCCTAGTAGCAAGCTGATAACATGAAGCTGTTTCATCTGCTTGAAACCACTCTGTAGTCAGATGACAAACACAAAGATTTTACATCTTTTTCCTCTACACTCAATGTAGAAAGTACGTTAAAGAAATTTTCCTTTTTCTTCACATCATACTCACTTTGCAATTGGGTACTCCCACATGTATCCCCAACCTCCATGGAGCTGGACACAGTCATAAGCCACACGGTTTTGTAACTCAGATGCCCTAGATGACCGAAATAAAAAGCAAAAAAGGAACATTTGAAATAGATTTTCACAAAGTGCTTCACAATCAGGAAACAAATTATTTCTGACTGTTTAAATACATACATTTATCAAACAATTACAATTAGACATATTAGCCAACCAGAGAAGATTGACATAAATTATGTATGAAATAAAACTCTAAATAATTTTCACATAATGAATACTTTCTTCACCTATTAGTTCTGGCTGGGTTTTGGTAAGGCTAGAAATAAAATGTGGAACACATAGACTATTAGGTTTTGGCTATTTTAGGCCTGAAAAGGACAAAGTAAAAACCTGATTTTGGTCTAATTAATTTAGATTCTTTGTATGATCCAAGTAACTAAATAGTTATACAGCCCATCTATTTCCTTTCGCCTTGTAATATGTCTTTTTCTCCAAAGACATCAATTCTACCTGAAGGTTACAATTCTGAATTTATTTTATTCCGAAGGTTACAATACTGAATTTCAGTAACTGAAAAAAAATTTTTTTAGGGATTTTCAGAAATAAACTGAAAGTAAAAGTAAAAACCTAAGTGGGAAGACTACTATTAAGGTACACACCATCATATAGGAAACTTGTTAAAGATTATTTGGGCATTATTATTCCCAAAGTATATGAAATACTTGAGAAATATTCTTGATCTAGCATAATAATTTTAACTACCATTAAAATTTATAAGGTAACTGGTAGAGATTTTATTCATCTTAAGATAAAAACATAAGTTCAAAATGCTTTTCAACATACTTTATTTTTTTTTCTCTTAAAGTAATGCCTGGCCACAACATGGGACTTGAACTCATGACCCTGAGATCAAGAGTCACATGCTCTACCGATTGAGCCAGCCAAGAGCTCCATCTATTTTTCAATAGTGGAAAACATAAAGTAAAAGTAAGCATAACCACATTTTCTCATTTAAAGTAATTTTTAACTCAAGTCATAGGACAGATGAGGATGTTCCTAATATAAGAGCAGCAATATAATGATTAACAGGTAGGGCTCAGGGGGCAGCCATGTTTGGAATTCTATACATTTTTGTATTTGGTAAGGATTTTAGTGAAATATTTACTGGGTTATAACTGGTTGCTTCCTCTGCTTCAATGTGAAGTAACAGTACGTCTTTAAACTTAGTGTTTTCAAAGATCAATAAGGTCAATAGCTACCTGAATATCTCTTTTCCTAAAATTATCTAAAAATATTTTACACTTTTTTCAACTGGTCAAAGAACTTGCTATAAACGTAAATGTCCAATGTCTCTCCCCCAAAGTACAAGTTCCTAGTAATTTCACATCAACTTCAACCTGGCAGTTTTATTATTTTGGAATTATTACATAAAGAGCTATCCTGCATATTTCCTCATTCTATTTCTGATTGAACTGAACACAAGTTAATGAATAATGACAGGAATTTTTTTCTAGGTTATTTTTGGGCTAATGAGATGTGAGAATGTTTGTTTTTAAAACAGGAAACCAAACCCATTTCCAGAATCTGATTTAAATTATGTTCTTGCATCTTAAAATACAAGGAGTCTCTTTTCAATTAACTCATCTTTATTTACTTATTTATTTTTAAACTCATCTTTAATATCAGTGAAAAGTCTTTCCAAGACTTACAGGACATTTTCCCTTTCATTTAATAGAGCATGTGCAACATTTGATGGGACAATCAATTTTTCGGAAATTTTTCTTAGATCTAGACAATACTTTAGGGAAATGCAATCCAATCTATTCATTTCACAGATACCAAAATGTTGATCCAGAAAGAATTAAATTTAATTACAGTTATTTAATGAAAGAATTGGGAGTCAATCTCAGGATTCTAAGTCTTACTATTCTTGTTTTGTCTCATTACAGGGCCACTTGTCAGATAATTTGAAATTCAACTCGTACTTGAATGAACTAATCAGTCACCCTTCTTCAGTATATAATATCTTATTTTCAATAGCAAGCTAAAAGTTAAATCAACTTGAGTAATTTTTAGCACATTATATATAGGCTTAATGGGACCTTCCACTATTTTTTTTTAAGTTGGTTTTTACTGTTAGTTTTTATTTTCACAGCCTTCTTCTTTTAAGACCCTCAAGGCTGAATTTAAAGTTGGAAGAATTCCATAACAGTCTGTGCAAACACTACGTTTTAATTATTGAAGCATGCATACCAATATTTCGCCATGGAGGCAGAGGCAGAGTCCAGACGTTTCTTTTCATGCAGCTGGAGACAGCTGTCCACAAAAGCTCTGGTTACACAAATTTGTGTTTTTAATTCTGCTAGCTTATGTTGTACTGTCTTGAGTTTGAAGGAAATGAAAAAAATTGAGCATAAAAAAGAGCATATTTATAGTCACCTAGCATATCAAAAATTATATAATAGAAGATCTTTAGAGCAAAACAAAAGTGGAATTACCAGTTCTTTTTTTTTCTCCCAAAGAGGCATGATAAACTAAATAGCTTAACTTTAAAACACATTATATTCATTGCTAGAAAAACCTGTACTAAAAGAGGAAAAAAAAGAGATAAATACATAAACAATATCTCATGTTTTAGATTTAAAAATTTAGACCATTTAGGGAAACTGCTTGAAAAACAGCATGGCTTTAATAGGTGAGCACCATCTGGTGGTATAGTCCTTCAATACAGCTGTTGAAAACACCCATTTTCCTCCAGAATCTAAATCCATGAAGAATTTTTTTTTTCTTCTTTTTATAAAGAATTTGTCTCTATTAATGAAATTAAGTATACACATTATTCTGCTTCTTTGTCTTAGAATAAAATAATAAAGTAACAAGCTGGAAGGACAATGTTAAAAATATTTATTAGACATTATTTTATATTGCAAAGTATTTAATCTGCATCTACAAAATGTAGAATAAAAGCATCAGAGCATGCAAGAGATCAAAGTCCAGTAGCCTCCAATTTCTTCCACGTCTCTCCGCTATGTATATATCTCTATGTACATCCCTACATATAGTTAGTCTCTAACTTGAACTGAATGGTCTGGAATGGCCAATGTGATATACTTTCTCCTGCTGGCCACAGACAACCTATAGTAGCCTTTGAAATCATTCTCTCTATTCCCAAGTGTTTTTGACTGCTTTCACTTCAATCAAATTGTCTTTATTCCAGATTCTTGGCTCTCATACCTTGAATTCTGAGTTCACATCTGGTCTCCTTGGCACACCAACTCTTGAACTTCCTTCAGAAAACTGGCTTGGATTTGACATATTATTAGCCTTCCACTTTGGGTAACCCCCTGAAATACACCCCATTCAAGTTGACCTCTTAGGTTCAAGGCCCAGCTATGGTCAGCTGGCTCTGTCTTCCGTGTGGAAATTCAGATAGAACAGAGTTTTGATCATTCTATGGAATTCATGAGTGAGATCTTTGCTGTGACTAATAAAAGGCATGGAAGTTAGTGACAGAGGTGGCGCAGTTAAACTCAAACTAGAAATTAATGCACCCTACCTATGCACTGGCAAGTTCAAAGCCATGACTGAGTCCCCAGAAGGAAGGCTTTAGGGACTAGATTCTCAAGAGAATGCTGGCTCTGCCATTCCTATTGGCTACGGCAATTCTCAAACCACAAAAGCGAGCCTTTTAGCATCGCTGTGATGGGGATAGTTGGGGTACTTTCCATTTCCAGAAAAGAGTAGAAAAGGAACATAATTAAGACCCAGGACCAGGCAAGATCTGAGTGTCAGGAGGAACAGGCACTACGAGGAAGAGATTCCTCAGAAGTGTATCAAAAGAACTACCATTCCAGTGAAAAACCCAATTGACTGCCTTTCCCTTGGCCTTACTCCACCCAACAGACAATATGACTGGCACCTAATGGTTCCAAAACCAAGCAGTAGGAAGGTTGGCATCACACTTTTCCCACCTCAGTATCCTGGCTTCTGATTCAGAACATGCTGGGTCACATCAAAACCTTCTTCCCCTCTCACTCTTTCCCTTATATTGTTTATCTCCCTTTCTATTCATTTATATTTAATTACACCAAATCTCTACCATTTAATCAACACACAGTTTCCTACTTCTACACCACACATCCAAGATTACTCACAGAAAACCTAAAGATGGAAGAAATGAAAAAAAGTGGGGGAAAAAATGTTCTATACATTGAAAACAGATGAGTATATATTCCCTCTAAGCCTATTCCTGGTTTAGTTCAATGACACTTATTTTCAATGGAAAATAAGCAAGAATCTGACAATTCTTTTTTTCCTTTTTTAATGTATTTTTATTTGAGAGAGAGAGAATGCATGTGCTCATGCAAGGGTAAGGGACAGAGGGACAGGGAAAGAATCCCAAGCAGACTCGCTACTGGGAACAGAGCCCAAGGTGGGGCTTGATCCCACTGACCCTGAGATCATGACCCAAGCCAAAATCAAAAGTCAGATGCCCAACGGACTGAGCCATGCAGGTACCCTGACAATCTGACAATTCTTAAGATACTTTTGCTCTTTCCCCACTGTAATGGCACACTTGAGAATTTGTGCTCTATTTACAATGTGAGAGAATCAGGATCTCTAAGCCCAATTCCCTTACCTGAGAGCTATTTCTCTGGGAATGCTGGGAGCTTCCAGAAGCTGAAGTTAAATTTCAGATCAGGATGGGCTCATTTAGAACTCTTGCTTTAATCCATTTAGTGAAGTCCACAGGTTTGAAGAAATTAATGCCTCCAAGAATACAGAATTTATTTTCTGGGGGACAAAGAGATTAAATATTTGCATATTCTTGGTATCACATTGTCCTAGCTCTTCATTGCAGACATTGCCTCAGGCTTTCAGAAATTATTCTGTAATGGATGGTGGCTAATAACTACACCACACATTATTAGCAAGGTGCTTCTTGTAATTGATCAACACACTTGTAGCAATCTTTTCAAGCATTCATTAATAATTGCTAATAGATAATACTGCAGCTAGCATTTAAAAAGAAAATCCTCAAAACTTAATGAGTGAATCAGAGTGTCTTTCAGAGTTCTGAATGACATAACTCTTTGAATCATAGAATTATGGAACCTGGAATACACTTTGGAGAGGTTACCTAGCCCATATTCCATTTAAACAACACCAATAATTGTACTCTAATATATTATGACTCAAATATAAAATATAACATCTTAGGTTTGCCATTTAATTTTAGTTAATTAACCCCCCACTCAAGGTCTTAAGAACTGGGTAATTACTTTTTGGAGGAATGTAAAGAAGAAGTGCTTTTTTTCCCCTCTCCTATTCCATTTTGTAATATTCTGTGCTCTTAGAATCAGGAACATACCACACAGGAAATAACTAAAGCTTGTCTCAGAAAAGAACATTGAATTTTCACTTCATCGCCCATGGGTGAAGGAAGTAGGGAAAGAAAAAAAGCTCCATCTACTTTAACTTTCTAGGTAGTAAAACTAGAGTGTGAGTTAAGAGTATAGGTTGTGGAGTTATAATATCTGTGTTATCTTTGGAAAATTGCTTAACCTCTCCATGGTTCACTCTCCTTACCTGTAAAATGAGGGCAAATATAATGCTTATTATATAGAGAGTTGTGAAAAAAAATGAGAATTCATTTGGCACAGTTTCTGGCACATGGAAACAATGTAATAAAGAGCCACTATCATTATTTATATCTGAATTTTACTTGATCATTATCTAATCTTTAGAAAATCATAAGATGTGACATCAAATATGGAGAGTATGAATGAAAGGAAACGAAAATCCTATAATTGCCACTGAAGTATGATAGGTCTCCATCCTAAAAAGAATATGATTTTTTGGTGGAATATAGCTAAATGGCAAAGAGGCCCCAATGTTCAAAATTCAAGAATAACATAGAGAAAATAAGGAAACTGAATAGTTAGATGATCATAAGATGACACTTGGCTAGGTATAATATGATGTTTAAAGGTCTTCTATTTCATTTTAATAACTAGAACAATAGTGTACCTGGCTCCAGGATAGGAGGTATAGGCAATATGTTAGTTGTTCATCTTCTTTGAATACATTCCAAGACTGAACACAAAAATATTATTCAAAGATACTTATTTCAATAAAACAGAAAGATTAGGCGAAATAGCTCAGAAATCTGGGGGGTGCCTGGGTGACTTGGTCATTAAGTATCTGCCTTCGGCTCAGGTCATGATCCCAGTGCCTAGGGATTGAGCCCTGCACAGGGCTGCTTGCTCAACAGGGGTCTGCTTCTCTCCCTCATATTCCCCCTGCTTGTGTTCCCTCTCTCACTGTCTCTCTGTCTCTGTCAAATAAATAAATGAAATCTTAAAGAAAAGAAATATCTCGGAAATCTAAGAACATACACATATTTACTCAGAAAACCATACAGCAGGTCGTCCTAGTATACTGGTGGAAGTGATGCTACTGCCATCTAGTGACATTTTGGTAAACTACCTTTGAAAGGAGGCAATAATATCCTTTTCAAATCTTTTAAAAAGGATTGAAACTATCTTTATTTTTTTCTATCAAAATATATGTGTTTATTTAGTATATATATTAATAAATACATATATTACAAACTTTGTTTTTTCTATGGGAAAACATTATGCCAATTTCCTATTCCTTCAAGGTCCAGTGTCAAATCAGATTTAACATTCTGAATTACAGACAATCTGGGTAATAGCATAGTCATCTTTGTTGTAATTTAATATGAATTCCATAAAAGGAGATGTAGATTTCCAAGGAGATGGGAAAAAATATACTTATTTGGTTCACTTTTAATTTTTAAAAATATTTTATTTATATATTATGTCGGAGAGAGAGAGGGAGAGCACAAACAGGGGGAGCAGCAGGCAGAGAGACAAGCAGGTTTCCCGCTGAGCAAGGAGTCTGATGTGGGGCTCCATCCCAGGACCCCAGGACCATGATCGGAGCTGAAGGCGGATGCTTAACTGACTGTGCCACCCAGACATCCCCATTTTTTGAAAATTTTAAAAAGATTTATTTATTTATTTCAGAGAGAGAGATTGAGAGAGAGCGTGTGTGCAGGGTGGGGAGGGCCAGAGAGAGAGGGAGAGTCTTAAGCAAAATCTGTGCTCAGCACGGAGCCTGACGCAGGGTTTGAGCTCAAGATCCTGGGTTGAAACCCAGAATTGGACACTTGACCAACTGTGCCATCCCAGGCTCCACAAAGTTCACTTTTTATAGTAACCATAATAGGGCCAAAGGCATGAAATTGGTGGTGGCTGGATTTCAGAAGCAAAAGCTATTACAGACATACCTTATTTTCTTGCTCTTTGCTTAACTGCACTTTGTAGAAGTTGCTTTTTTTTTTTTTTTTACAAAT